GTGGGGTGTCCCAAAAGCTGCTCGGGGCGGCGGCAGCTCCGTGCCCACGTTCCCCAGCAGAGCCGCTCCCGGCCGGGCTCATCGGGCGCTCCCGAGGCCGGGGTGGGCGGCAGCCCGGGCGCTCTCGGGGGCGCGTCCCCGTGTCGCAACGCAGGGCTGCGSGGAGAAACTCCCAGGCGGGTTTGCGAGTTTCTTGTGTGGGAAGTGTGGAGGAAGAAAAAAAAAAAGTCTCCCACTTTTCCTGTAGAAAAAAGATGTCGTTTGGAGAAATAGGAAGCCGGGAGGGTTTGTTGGAACAAGGGGCGGGWGGAAACGGCGCGCCTTTGAATGGGTTGTTTCACCGCAATGCTCGAGTGGCCGCGAGTTTTCCCTCCAAGGCTCAAGGCATGAGAAAGACCCTGAAAGGGCCACAAAAAGCCTCTGATACTTTTCTGCCTTTTTTTTTTTTTTCTTTTTTTTTTTTTTTGTTTTTTTTTTTTTTTTTTTTTTTTTTTTTTTTTTTTTTTTTTTTTTTTTTTTCTTAAACATAATCGACTGCCACACAATCAGAGGTTTGGAGGGAATCTGCTAAAAGGCTACACARAACAGACACAAAACTACACTGAAGTTTGGGTCTCATTTATCACAGGAATTTGAAATCCCAAACCCCGACAAGACCCTTCTTTAGGACGGGAGCGGGGCAGGCGCGTACGGCGTTAATGGATGCAGTCTGCACCGAAACCTTGGAAACAAAGCAGTTGGAAAACTCGTTTGTCTAAAGCAGGGAACCGCAATTCCTGAAACGCGGAGAAGTGAGACACCCTCCTCCTTGAACAGACCAGCTCTTACAGTCTCTGAAGCCAGGCAGGGAAGAGAAAAAAAGCATTTAGAAAACCAGAATATTTTCGCTAATTTTAACTACCCGGCTACTCGCTTTAGCCATTAGAGGAACCAGCAACCCGGCTGCTCTTAGTTCCGAAAGCGCGAGGGGCAATGGGGCGACACCCAGCAGAGATTCCCGCAGCTCACCTATCAAACCGGCCGGAGAGCTGCTTTCTCCTCCGCTTCGTTCCTCGGGCCGGGCCGGGCCACGGCGCTCCCCGGCAGCAGCAGATGGGCTCCGGCGGCCCGGGAGCCACCGGCTCCGCCCCCTGCGCCGCGCTCCCCGCGCCCGGCCCGGCTCCCTSCTCGGCTCGGGTGTCCCGGTGTTTGCGAACACCCTGCCCGCCCCCGGCACGCCGTGCCCTGCTCCCGAGGACGTGAAGAGGATGAGACTGCAGTGTGCTGTGTGGGAAAACTGTGTCTTGCGCTGACAAGCTCCAAGTGCCAAAAGTGATGGGCTGAAAGTTGAAAAGTACTTAGATCTTAAAAATTTCTTAGGGGACGCCGTAAAACTTTAGCTAATTGCTCCTCTAAGTCTCCAAATAACATCTTATTGTAGGTCGGAGTGAAACTTGTTTATCTCACTTTCCTGYTGGAAATCTTCAGGAGTAAGAAAGAGCATGATTTAGGGTTTCTTTTTCTCTTCTACCTTCCCCAWAAATCGGAGTGACTTTCTTACACCACCCTGAGGGGAATGCCTGATTCATTGGAGAGCATCAATAGTAAGTCAGTCTCCATGGGCAGTAGGACTGAGAGGAGTATTGAAAAAACCAACCCAAAGGAAGTGCTATGAACACGCCTTCTTTAAATACGCTTTTGCCAAACTTTTGTAAAGAGGAAAACTGGATTAAAAAAAGGCTTTCAAATTCAGCTGAAAAGCCACTACAATRCTGTGCCTTGTATGGTTTCATAGAATCACAGAATCATAGAGAGATTTCTCAATATAAATATCAAACACAAACCCATTGTGTTTCTCCCATTCTTTCACATGACTGTGATTGATCTGAATCATTCCTGACCTCATCATTGACTTCACAGAAATTTAACTATTGCATATCATGACAATTAGGGTCTGTTTGTCACTTCACAACCATAAATCTGACAACATCTTTGTGAGGCAAGGAATTGTTTTCTTTTCACACRCAAGGGAGAAAATAGAGATAGGAATACTGTTGTCAAAGTCACCCAGCAAAAGTAGAGCAAGGGTAAAACAGCTGATGATTCTACAGAAGGATGTGTTGTTTTGCAATACASGTTTTGCTTGGGGAAGCTTCAAGGCCTGAGAAGTTTTTCACTTGATCTCTCCTTTCTCCTGTTRTGTGTCCTAGTATGACTACATACTTTATAGCAGCCTTCCCAGATTCCTCTTTGTTTGATTATGCAGTAAGACAAAACAAAATTCTTTCCAATCTTCAGTTCATCTCAGAAGGAAGAGTTTGTAGGTCATTGTGGAAATTTGACATGTTATCTGAGCAGTGTTTAAATAACAATAGGAACAAACCTTGTAAACAAAGCATCATTCCTTTTTCTTACCAAAATGATAATTGCTGGCTCCTTTCCTAGTTCACAACCTTTTCTTTGTACTTACTAATGTCCCATCTTGATTGATTTGACTTTTCTCCAATTTCAAAGCACCATCTCTGTCAGTGAAGTAATCACTCTTCATCCTTCCTCTGACCCAAAATTACAGTAGGAAAGTGTCCTTCTGTATCACTTCATGTATTTTATTTTTTCAGCAATAATAAAATAGAAAATGAACTTACTATTCCTTCCCCTTCCCCTTCCCCTTCCCCTTCCCCTTCCCCTTCCCNCTTCCCCTTCCCCTTCCCCTTCCCTTTGTATTAAACCAAATCCTGTTAGGTCTTCTGTTCAGATAAAACTTATTTAGAAGTTAAGCTTCACCTTTCCTTTTTTTTTTCCCAGCAATATTGGTAGGGAAGATTTTCCAGAGCACCATCCTTATTTGTTTATAAATTACTTCTCAAACATACCTTCTCAGCCGTATCTTGCCCAYTCAGCCCTGAGAGAAGTGCAGAGCCAGTTGTGTCTCTAAACCAACAAGTAAGAACCAGCACTATCTGTCTGGCTGTTCTGAAAGGCCCTTCACACTTGGTTTTCTCCAGGAAACACCTTCTCTGTTTGTAATCACGTTTCCTGCAGTGCTACRGCACACAGAGGGTCGGATCACTGGTGTTTACAGAGCAAAGTTGTTTATCAGTGTGAGGGYRAGCACTGGGGAGCGGATGTGGGACAGTGCAGTCACGTACATAGGGGATGGGGATTTAGGCAGGTGGATTCTGGTACCCAAASAGCCTCTCCTTTTAGMTCAGTTGGTCAGAGCAYGGTGCTGATGTYGACCTRGGTTGTGRTTTGACTCCTGTGTTGGCCTCATGTCCAGCTGGAAACTTCAGGTCCTATTTCAGAGTAAATAATGAGTTTATAAGATTCACCATAACATGGAGAAATACCTAGATTATACAGTTTTGGGGAATGATTTGTAGTTGCTGCTGATTTATGTTAAATTGCTCTGCTCTTATTGCTTCCTACTCTCAGTATGTGCAACATATTTTAGCTATTCTTGCCCAGTGGGAAGAGGAAGGTAGGAGGAAAATTCTGTAAAATACTTTGTTTCTAGAAAAGAAAGTAACACAGAAGCCTACTTACCAATGTAGTATTTGCACAAGGAGGTTGGGATCAGGGATCTCTCATTTAATGGTTCTGAGCCTTTGAGTCTACATGGACCCTGAGGAAATGCTCTCAGAGAGGTTGTGCCTGATGCCTCTGGCTGAGCTGCTGCTGTCTTCATCCCACAGATCCATCCCTACAGATGGACTGGCATGGTCCAACAGCTCCTGTTGTGTTGTTCAGTGCAGTGCAGTTTAGTCTGGGCCCAAGAGTCATGAGAGGAGATATTCAATCAATAGAAAGACAGTCTAAACATCCAGAAGCACCATTCTGTTTGATAAGCCAGATCAATATCTTTCTGTTTATCCTTGAGGTTGTTCTTGTATGAGAAATGTGAAAGTCTTTCACAACCACGTGGCTTTGTGCTTAGGCTGTAAGTATGACAGAGCTGGGCATTTTGGACAACTTTACCAGGAAGGTAACCCTTTCTAGTTCATTTACACAAATGGTTATGGGCAGTCTGTTCCTGCAGCAAACTGAYGAATCCATGGAGTCCTAATTACTGCATTCCTTAGTATCTTATATGCATTGACTTTGCTGGGATATTGTTCAATTTATTCAAATGTTATTGCAGGGAAATGATTTGGTCAGGTGTTCTGGGGTGTGATTTTATGAAAGAAAATCTGATTCATAGTTCTATTCTGAAAATTGTTTCACAACCAGTCTGAACTCATTCATGGCTGCTGGTGCACTTTCTGCTCTCTCTCCCCACCTGCACTTCATGTAGTCCCTTCGTATCCCTTTTATGAGGCTGGAAATTGAGCAGCTGATGTGATCTTTCTTTTTCTTTTTGTGAGGTTAGTTTTCAGTTGGGTCAACTCTTGCTCACCAGTTTACCTGAGTGTGCACGTTGGTGTTCACTCACTGTCAAATGCAAGGAACGGGGCAGGATGGAGTGACTGGGAGTTGGCAAAGATGTATATTTGTTCCTTTATGATTATGGAGTGGATAAATTGATCAAGAAATYCCATCCAAAAAGCTGATATTGCTAATCCCCATCAGATATGAAACTGAATTTCCTGTAAATCTGGAGTATTTTTCTGGTTGATTTGCTTTGGATCTGATACACCCCACATTTTTCGAGTCCACCTTGCAACAAGGACTGGGAAACTTTGTTTGGCAGTGTTAGTGCTTCACTTTGAAAATGCGTAGGTGTGACATCTTTGAAAATGTATGACGTCTGTTCCACAGCTTTCTGACCACAGTTTCACTCTTTTCATGAGATGACCCCCCAAGATCTTGCCTGTGGTTTTGGTGGTCTCAATGAGCTGTCAATGTGGGTTTGACAGCGATCACGTATAAGCACAGCAGCGTGTATATGGAAGTGATCAGTGTGCAGTGGCAGGAGTTACTGTGTTATTAATGTTTCATCTTCATTCAGGTCTATTAATATTGAATAATAAACTGAAAATTGCAAGGCATTGGTCGTTTTGTACTCAGGTGAGGCATGTCACATAAGCAGCATAATTCCTGCTTTCTGAATTAAATTCTTATGAGACTGTAAGCTCTCCTGCAGTTTATATTCAGATAGAATTAATCTCGTGAGTGACCAGTTCCAGGGTTTGGAGTCTGAGGTATCATTTAGGGGACTTTAATGAAAGAGAGTCAAGTTTAAGAATAAGGGATGGCCTCAGCTTTCAAATATGCATGGAGTACTTTSTACACATGCAAAATACTCCTGAAGCCAAGTACACAGTCCAGACTCACTGCTTGTCCTCTGAAGGTGCATATAAAGTTTGCTTTACGTGCTGTGGAGCATCTGGGATCACTTCTGCACAGCAGCAGCCAGCTGTCACTTTGCAAATTCACATCCTGGAGCATGTAAGCTGTKTGCCTGAAGGTGTTTGTGCCCTTAAATGACAGGTTCCAACTGCAGGTTTGGATATTATTTAAATCTAAGGATCCTTTAGATTCAGTGTATCTTAATATCTGTGTCAGTGTTACTGATCTGTCAAGGACTGGGGACCTTCATAAATCAGTCTGTGCATCACTCTGAACATGAGAATAAGTACATCACTGAATCATCRGGTTGAGCAGGGTAGAGCAGGACAAAACTTCTGCCCTGGGTAAAGAATTAGAARCTATTTTCAGAATGAGAATATTGTGCCAGAGCCCTATTATAAATCAGCAAGAGCAAAGTTGCACTGACATTAGGTCTGGGAATTGCTTAATTTAGGTGCAGACTGGTGTMAAAAATACTAGCTCAGGGAGTGCTGCTAAGAGCTTTGGTGTCCAAGTGCTTGTTGTAATCATCAGAGCTGCGTATGGCAGGAGAGAACAAAGGTTCCTGGTTTTATTAGCTGCTGGCTGAAGGTGCAGAGGAGGCAGAGATAAATACTAGAATCATAGAACAGTGTGGGTTGGAATGGATCCAAAAATCTTGTAGTGCAACTCCCCTACCATGGGCAGGGAACCTTTCATTGGATCAGGTTGCTTAGAGCCCCATCCAGCCTGGCCTTGAACACTTTCAGGGATGAGTAATCCACAGCTTCTCTGGGCAATCCATTCCAGTGCCTCAACACCCTCACAGTAAAGAATTTCTTCCTGATATGTAATCTAAACCTGCCCTCTGTCAATTAAAAACCTTTGCCCTTTGTGCTATCGCTACAGGTTTTGATAAATGTCTCTCTCTTATAAGCCCCT